AGCAGCAAGAATCGGCAACAATCACACTCACCCCTGATGTTTGCTGCAACAACAGTGATTGCATCTCATCTTCTGTATCTTGCACAGGGGAGTCAGATTATGGCAGCTTGTCGCTTCCAGATAGAAATTATTTCTGTGTCTCTTCCATCGGCCTGAGAGATGGCAAAAAGAGAAGACAGTTTGTTTATTGGGGGGGGGGCAGCAACTCCTGCCTCAGATGGAGAAGGATTTATTCTGAAGACCTCCATAGGGACCTGCACTGGACCTCCATCAATGATGCTAAATCTCTTGGAATCCTATTGTAGGCACGATGGTGTTTCCCCACATACTCTGGGCTCAGAAGTTCTTAATTCAGCTGTCACAGCTTTTGTGACCTAATCTTAAGCTAGCCAGATCTAAGAACCAGCAACCTTTGGGCTGATCTTGAAAGGCTAAACTGGGTCTGGCTGGGCCAGAGAATCACAAGTCAATCGGAACAGAGACCCGTCCTGGAAGAAGGAAGTGGCAAAGCACTTCCAAATCCTGGCTGAGAAAATGACAAGGAAGTGCTGAGATGCACATGGTGGAACTCAATGGAGGAGACACGTCCTGCCTCCTTCCTCCCTCTTGTGTCTCCTGCTCTGAGCAGGAGCAGAAGAAGAAGCAGGAGCTTCCCCCGCTGGACCAGCAAACGGGCTGCACAAACAAGCAAAGCTCCATCCTCGGGATGCCGGCAGTATTGAAAACCACACCCCCTCTGGTCCACGGATAAACCTTTCTTCATGGCACCGGTCCCTGGTGCCCAAAAGGTTGGGGATCTCTGATTTCAGGGACTTTTCCTGGACTCCTGAGCTGCTGATATTTGCTCCTCTGAAGCAAGTCCATTGAGGCCATAGAGATTTCCTCCCAGATAAGAGGAATGTGGGGGATGTGTTGAGATTTGCAGGAAAAGGAAAAATGGCTGCATATCTTCTTCTTCTTTCCTGATCCATGTTCAAAATGTTTGTGGGGGAGGGTCTTGTGGGGGCTCCTGGCTGCAACTCTCAGAGAGGCTCTTTCCCATCCACACCAGCTCAGCTAACCCAGAAAGACACAGGAGGGTGTGTTTGTTTCACTTACATATCAGGAAGAAAATGCAGATTGAGGCAGCCACAATCGCCATATATGTCCACCACATTCTGGCTAAAGAAGGAGAAAAATGGTTTTGATTAGACAGACGCTGAGTTCCCGGAAGTGAAGATGCTGAACAATGGAAGCATTTCCCAACCTGCATTGGCCTCCAGGAAGTGCCCCCACCTGAAGGAAGCCCCTCCCCTCCAAGGCTGCAGAGGGAAGAGCCAATGGCCTCGAAGGGCACNGGACTATATTCCCTGCTCTCCACCTGAAAACATGGTGCAGAAGAAAATTACTGCCCTCCCCCCAACACACACTATTTCAAACATTGGTGAAAAATCCACTTCTCCATGTCACAATCCCATGAGCCTCTCACCTGTTTCCTCCTCCAAAGCCAAGACCAGGGGCTCTTGCAAGCCCTGGTGCTCTAGGCGACACCGATAACGGTCCCTCTCCTTCGGGTCGATATCAATGCTGAGCCAGACATAATAGGTCCCATCCGAGTTGGGGGCCACGTTCCTAGGGAGGGTCCCGTACTCGCAGACCTCTCCGTCCCTGGTCCAGGTGGCCTGGATCTCCTTGGGGTAGAAGCCAAAGGCCTGGCAGATGAGGACCTCCAGGCGGTCATCCACCTCCTTGAGGGTCACCTTCCCCACTGGGGGCTCTGCAGAAACAGCAACAACACAATTCCCTGGATTTCCAGAGTTTTTGGCAAGGGGATTTAAATAGCAAGACCTCCTTGGGGCATCCTCTCCCTCTGCTCCCTCTCCTTGCCTCAACCTGTGGGAGCCCCTAAAATGGGGCATTGGGGTTCTTTACATTACGTTTTGAAAGGAATACATAGAATTTGGGGTAATGTTTCCACATTGGCCAACATATTCCCCAATTTGTTGGACTGATTCAATTTTAAGCCCCCAAATCGAATTTGTTCAAGTTGTTCAGATGGAAATCAGGAACAGGCTGATCATTTCCTTCCAACCCAAACATTCGTTTCTTCTGCTTTGCAAGACTTCCCTGGGGAAATAGAATGAGAATGAATTTCTTGCTCAGTTTTTTTTAACATACTTATTTTGGGGGGAGGGGCACTGAAGATTATTTTTCTTCTGTAACGTGATGTCGGATACTTCCTGACCTTTTTCCACCAATATTTTAAAAGGTGGCTTGGCTGTTTAGGAGAGAAACCATATGGGGTGGGGGGAGCACACAGGAACATGCTCAATGGAGACCCCTTTTGCCACTCACCAATCATCTGCAGAGTCTTGTTCCTGTAGGACAGGTATCTCTGCAGCCACTCAATGCAGGGCTCCTCCAGCAAGTCTTTGTTTCCCTCAGACCATCCTGGGTCATCCTCCCACTTCCTCTTGAGCTTCTGGGCCTGAGGCTGAGCTGCCACCCATCTGAGGGTCTCCTTGTCGAAGCTCATGAAGTCCATCCCGTCGTAGCCATAGTGCAAAAACCCTCCTTTGCTCCCATCTTCCATGAGCTCACAGCCCAAAACCACCTGCCAGGTGTGAAGCCCTGAAGGAGAGGCAGAGGGGGTGGGTGTGAATGAAAAGGGTCTGTGATTCCTCTCCCTAGACAGCCTGAGAGTCTTCCCCCCTTCCCAGAAATCAGATTTCTCCTTCCCCTCTTTATCACACAAGGAGAAACATCTTTTACTTCAATTAACCCTGTTTGTTTGTTTGTTTGTTTGTTTGTTTGTTTGTCAGGCCATGAAGAATTTCTAGGTGAGGGAGAAAAACAGGTGTAGGTGTGTGTGTGTGTGTGTGTGTGTGTGTGTGTGTGTGTGTGAGAGAGAGAGAGAGAGAGAGAGAGAGAGAGAGAGAGAGAGAGAGAGAGAGAGAGAGAGAGAGATGCAACTATTGGAGGCCAAAGGTGGCACTGACCCTGCTCGCCTCCAGCACGGTGGCCCAGTTTTGATAACTTCTCCAGGTCAGTCCTGAAGACCCACTTAGGGGCCAGAAAGTTCTCCTTCTCCCCCTCCTCCATCCAAGGGACCAGAGGCTCCATCTTCCTGGTGAGGCTGTCAAAGCGATTGATGGGCTGGTCATCCAAGTAGCCCCTAATGAAGAACTGGGGCTGCCCCTTGCTGGGCTCTGCCAGATGCAGGTAGAAGTAGCTCAGGGAGTGTGAGGGAGAGCCTGGAGAGGGAGGAGGGAGAAGAGAAGAATTGGGGGGGGGGTCTTCACTGCAACTTCATCCACTTCAACATCTTATTGCCACACAGCAGCCCCCCCCAAACAACTGGGTCGCCACATCTGGCTAAGATACTCCTGCACCTCCTCTGGGCCCTCCAGGCTCCCAGACTCTCTTGTTCTCCATAACCGGAGCTGATTACAAATCCGTTACTAAAGATTTTAAACGAGACTCGCTGAAGCGCGAGAGAAGGAAGATTTTTTTTCCTTCTGGGAAAAGGAGTTTGGGATTGAGGGGGGGGGAGAGAAAGACCCGGCCCAGGACAGGCGCCCCCCTCCCCGTCGCACACTCACCGCACAGAGCCCCGAGCACGAAGGACCCCAACGCAACTCCGGGTCCCGTCCTGAAGCCTCACTCACGCCTGGCACCTTTTGTCCCCGCCCCTTTTTTCCAACTTTCACTTTCGCACGCCGTGGCTGCTGCCGCCGCCGCCGCAAAGATGGCTTGGCTCGCTACTCAGTCAAATCTAACGAAGGGGGGGGAGGAGGAGGAGGAGGAGGAGCAGGGCCGCTTTTGGCGCTTCGAAGGGGGAGGGCGTGGGGGGGGCGGCCTAAGAGGCAGTTTGGCTGCGCCGCGCTCCCCCCGCCCTGCCAGAAGCCGCGCCCCCCCTTTCCTTGGAACTGGCTGAGTTGCGAGCCAAGAAGCCCTTTAGAACGGGGTCCCTCCCTGTCTCAACGTGCCATTTCACCTCCGGGCTGGGAAAATTAAAAAAAAATAAAAATAAAAACAAGGCTGCAGACTCTTCTACAAACAGCTCCTCCCTTTTCCTTGCCCCTCCTGCCCGCCCTCCAACTCTCCCCATGCAACTTCTTTCCCCATTGCCCTCTGCTGTCCCCGCTTCCCCCCCTCCTTACATATAAATGAGACCAGTCCCCAGGATCATGTATATAGGCTCAACCCTGGCTGAGTTGTGGCTGCCCAAAGAACCGGCTCTCGCTCTCTATTCCGCTCTTTTCTGCCAAAGGCAAAGGGGGATGGGTTAGCAAAGAGATGCCCACAGGTTTTATAGGAGGCTGAAGGAAACTCCAGGGGAGGAAGGGCGGGAAAGGGGCTTAGAGTAGGAGAGACCCAGCCCAGGACGCGGCTCTCCCCCTCCCCTTTCTGCTTCCTCCCCTCCGAGTCCCAAGCCCCCCCCCCAGAACTCACCGCAGCCGCCCCCCCGCAAGGAGGCCCCCAGCACCGCTCCCAGCAGCAAGAGGGGCGCCCGTGGTAGACGCATCGCACACCGCACGCATCGCACACCGTCCATCGTACACCTGTCCACCTGGAACCAGAGAAGCCATCTGAGGTATGTCAGGTAAAGCTTCGCTCCTTTTGTCACCGCTCCTTTTGTCCCCGCCTCCTTTTCCAACGCGCTTAGCTCCCGGAGCCTCCAGGGCTGAATGCCTCGTGGAGATACTCCTCCCTCCCTCCCCCACCCCCCGCTGCAAAGTCTGCGCGTCCGCCAAACTCCGCCGCTCTCTTTCTCTCTCCCACCCCCAGGAAGGGAGCGCGAGCGGGGTCCTAGCCGGAGGCGGCCCCACAATGTGCGGCGAGCCGCCCTAGACTACTAGAGGATGACCAGCAGCCAAGGTTTAGCAGGCAGACGAGCTGGGGACGCGTGTTGCGTGAATTTTGTGATACAAAAGTACAAAAAAAAATACAAAAATCATTTATTGTCAAAGTACAACAGGTGTACAATGAGATTGGCTGAGCCTCCCTTCGTGCACCCCCCCATCACAACTCACAGTGACAACAAACACACAATCTTATTGCACCATGTGAACTTATTGCACAATTGCTGACCAGGGTGTGAGTCATCCCTGAGGATTTTCCTCACTCTTCTAAGACAGCGGGCCCTAGGGAGGGCGTCCAGTGGTGTCAGGGAACAGCCCATGATGTTGTGTGCTGTGCTCACCACCCTCTGTAGTGTCTTTCTATCCGTTGCTGTCAAGCCACCACACTACACCATAATGCAATGTGAGAAGACGCTTTCTATAGTGGACCTTTAAAAGGAGGTCATCAGTTGTTGTTCCACTTTGTTCTTTCACAAGACCTTGAGGAAGTGGAGTCTCTGTTGGGACTTTCTGGCCACCTGGGTTGTGTTGATTTTCCAGGTGAGATCTTCGCTGAGGTAGACTCCCAGGAATTTAAAGGAGGAAACTCCCTCCACAAGTCCCCCCCATATAAAGTGGGATGGGTTCCTCTCTTTTCTTCTGGAAGTCTAACACCATCTCCTTTGTCTTGCCGATGTTCAGGTGCAAGTTGTTTTCTAGGCACCACAAGGATAGTTTTTGAGCCTCCCCCCTGTACGGTGTTTCGTCTCCACCTTTAATAAGACCCAATACAGTGGTATCATCTGCGAACTTGATGATGGCAGTGGATGGGTCAGACGATACACAATCATGTGTGCACCGGGAATTACAGGTAGGGACTGAGCACACAGCCCTGTGGCGAGCCAGTGCAAAGCTTCAGGGAGGTGGATGTGACAGACCCTCAGACCCTCAATGTTTGTGGCCGGTCCCTCAGAAAGTCTTTGATCCAGTCGCAGATGGAGGGGGGTGGAATCCAAGTCAGTCAGCTTTTCGATAAGGATGCTCGGCAGGCTAGTATTGAAGGCCAAGCTATAGTCAATGAAAAGCATGCTGACATAGTTTCTGGGTTTCTCCAGATGGCTGGCTACAGAATGTGAGGTAGTAGCTTTGGGGTCGTCTGTCGACCTATTCCCCCTGTAGGCAAACTGATGTTTGTCAAAGTCCGGTGGGAGGCATGTCCTAAGGCAATGGTGACGAACCTATGGCACGGGTCCCAGAGGCGGCACTTGGAGCCCTCTCTGTGGGCACACTCATCGTCTCCCCAGCCCCGCCTCCTCCCATGGCCCCCTCCTCTCCAGCAGCCCCCCTGAAGGAGACTCACCCTTGGGTGTGGCCCACACAGAGCAGCGCAGCCAAGGACATGGCAGCCAGGCAGCATAGACAAGACTCTGCCCTCACGCCCCATCATGCAGTTGATGCTGAAGGGTGCGGGCAGAGGGTGTGGCCGCCATAGCGCTGCTGGGCTGCTTGGGCGATCTGCGGTGGGACCTGGAGGCAATGAGTGGTCCTGTGGGCAGGCAGGGTGGGGGATGGGGGGGCAGGGGGTGGAGCAGGGGCGGGGCCAGTTTTTGGGCACTCGGTGTCTAAAAGATTCCGCCATCACTGTCCTAAGTTGTTGGAGAACCAGTCTTTCGAAGCATTTCATCACTAAAGACGTTAATGCCATAGTAGTCGTTTAGGCAGTTAATTGCTGTAGTCGTTTAGGCAGTTAATTGCTGTAGTCGTTTAGGCAGTTAATTGCTGTTTTCTTCAGGACTGGGAGAATAGTGGCTGCTTTCAAGAATGATGGAACAGAGGCCATTTGCAGGGAGATGTTAAAGACCCTTGTCAGTAGGTGCAATTTTCCACCAGAGGGAAGAACGCTTTAGAGTTAGACCGTGTGTGCTCCAATCTGAAACAGGCATACAGAGCAATCCCCCTCCCCCACCCGGGTCCATCCGACCATCTTTCACTCCTGTCCCTCTCAGGAAAAGAACTCAGCCAGTCACGAACATGGTTAAAATCTGGCCAGAGAGTGCTCTCAGTCAGCTGCAGGACTGTGTGGAAACCACTGAGTGGACTGTATCTGAACATCAAGACCTGCATGATGTACACTGATGCCGTCCCTTACGTCAAAGTGTGCACTGATAGTGTGACAATGGAAAAGTGCATCAGGGTCTGCTGGAATTGTAAACCCTGGATGACCACAGAGGCAGGGGAGGGGAGAGGGATACATAGAGAGAGGCCAGGGCCAACCTTAGAAGAGGCATTAAGATGGCAAAACAACCATATAAACAGAAGGTGGTAATATAATAATAGAATAATATAGTAAATTGAACAATTATTAGAATAATGATGTGTCTGCATAATTGCTAGAACGATGATGTAATGCATAATCACTGGGAAAATTCACTGGGAAAGTTCTCTGTCAGTAATATGTGGCAACCTAATGCGCTCTGCACATGGATACTTTATATGTAGCAAAACCTTCCATTCTATGCCTGTGAGAAACGTTCCTAATGTATCACAGTGTGTATTTCAATGTGTAGCCCTTTGTTCTTTAAGGAGGGGAGTATAAAAACTGAAGTCTAATCACGCCCTCCTCGTTCAGAATTGCCTATCTCTAATATGCTCTGGACCTTGCGCAAATAAACTTCTCTGCTAACCCCTCAGGAATTCGTAAGAGTTCTTTCGTTTTCCACAAGAATTTTGGCACCTCCAGATGGGACTCTTATGAAGAGGCCCTTGTCCTGCCAGACGGACTGCCCTGGGGGAAAACCCCTCTCCTATCGGTGATATCTCCAAGCCGGCTCCGTGGCCTTTGACTACGGGGAGACTTCCACGGGAGGAAAGGGAATTTACCACCAGCGAAGCATTCCAGTCAAGGATCCACTGAGGGGAGCAGACAGGTCTTTTTAATCCACAGGAGGGTCTGGAACGGGGGGGGGGGG